GAAACCTGGCCTCGACAGGGGCGTGGGTGTGGGGCAGCCGGAAGGTGGGAAGGGTGGGCCGGGCACGCAGGGACAAGCAGCGAGTCCGAGTGAGGACTGGCCCGATGCGGTCCCGGGGAAGGGGCGGGGGGCAGGGGGTGGGGGGGTGGGGGTGGGGAGGCGCACAGCCCCAGGCGACTTGCGCTTCGCCAAGCGGCGGAGGATGCGTCGTGGAGCCCGCCTGCTGCAGCGTGGACGCGAGCAGATTGCCACTCAGCTTGTCAGAGCCGCGGCCTCTGCTTCCTCGTGCTCAGGGACAGTAGGGACTCGGGCTCCCGGGCTCGCCCTCTGCAGGGGGCAGAGGGGAAGGGTCAGGGTCTCTGGGAGCACCCCCACCCCCACCCGGAAGCAAGGCGGCTCCTAGGGCAGGCGAGCAGGTGTCAGACGCCAGGGGGAGTTTCCTGACTGACAGGCACAGACTCACGCCCTCATACAGTCACTCAACAAGCATCTCTGGGCGCACAGGGCCACTGGGGAGCCTGAGAAGCCCTGTGAGGCAGGCCGGAGAGGTGGTTGGGACACTCTGGGGGTTAGAGGTCCTGACCTGCCCCAGGTCGGTGGGGTCTTGGGATTCCTAGGTTGGGGCTCATTCAAGGCTCAAACTTGGGCTTCAGATGCCCGTGGAGAAGGGGGGACCGTCTCTGTCCAGAAGAGGCCCTGGTGGGGGGACAGGCAGGGAGGAGGCGGCCAGGCCAAGGCAGGCCTAGTAGCTTCCAGACGACACAGTGGGTCGAGTGACCCGGGAAGACGTCCTTTTTGCCACCAGAGGATCAGGAGAAGGACCCACGTGACGCCTCAGCTCAGTGGGGCCGCGCTCTGGCCGGTCTCGGAGAGACGGTCCCACGGGCACAGCTGCGACCAACTGGGGTCAGACCCAAAGAGTAGCCAGTGTGGGCTCGGTCACCCCCTGTGCTGGGCGCCCCTTTGTCCCAAAGAGTAAAGACGAGGGACCGGGAGAGACAGCAGCCACCCTGGGCGCCCCGACAAAGCATGTGACGCGGGGGCAGATGGGCAGGTGCCGTGGCAACTGACCCTCAGAGGGGAGGGGCGGGGTCACTCCCAGAGTCCGGTCCAATTCAGCGACCGACCGCGAATTCCGCGGAGTGGGGGCGGGGCCAGAGGAGGCGATGGCAGGGGAGGCGTGGTGGGGGTGGGGATGGTCAGGGGTAGGGGATGACGGCCATGGTGGTCCCCACTTGGCACACAGTTGCTATGCCGGCCGCTGGTATGTTCTCCCTGAATCAAAACCTAGGAGGATGACACCTGAGAAAACATAGGCTCAGAGAGGTAAAGTGAGGTGCCCAGGTCACCCAGCAAGGACATGAGCCAGAGGGTCAGGCGGGTCCAGGCCCTGGGCCGCGCCCACAGCCCCTTCAGGAGCAGCGGGCATCTCTGTTCTACGCGGCCCCCCCCCCCCCCCCCCGCCAACCCGGGGCGGCCTGGCTGCAGCAAAGGCGGCCTCGTGAGCCCCGGGACAGATGAAACGCCCCTCCGAGGGGCTGATTTCTCTCTTCTGTCCCCTCTCAGGGTACAGCCAGCCGCACAGCACTCGGAATACTTCCTCTGAATTGAACGTTTGAACTGCACCCTTGGGACACGACGTGAGAAAAGACATTAGCCCAAGAAACGAAGGGGCGAGCTTGGGCCAAGGCTCGAAATAAGGGGACGCTTCACGGCGAGGGAGGGGGGGCGGGACAGAGGGCCAAAGGGGAGCGGGAGACGCGCCAGGCTGCGTGTGGCTGGCACCGTGGGCCTGGCGGCTGGGGGGGGGGGGGGGGGCGGGAACCCCCCGTTCCGGGGCGGGGGGGGGGCGGGTACCTGCAGAGACAGGAGCCCCGGGGAGAGGGGCTGGAGGCCGTGATGTCCACGGACCCCAGTCCGCGGCTTCCAAATCCCCCTCCGCTGCTCTGGACGAGGGACCAGCCCAGCCCACCCTTGCCACACGAACAGAGAACAGAGGCCAGAGCAGGCCGAGAACACAACGGGCGACCGGCCAGTACACGGCCCACACTAACACACGCCACCGCCTCGATGAAGGGGGGACGGCCTCGCACGCCCAGTGACAGGTGGATGGTGCCAGCCAGCCGCAAAGTCGTTCAGCCGTGAAAAGAACGAGGTCCTGGCACGCCGCACGGGGACGGCCCTGGCACATCAGGGGGAGCGCGGGAAGCCGGTTGCTGGCGCTGTGCACCCCCCACCCCGGCCAGGGGAGGGGGCAGGGCCCGCTACCGGGTTAAGTGCTGCTTCAGGGGCAGTGGTGTGGCCTGGGATCAGCACCCAAGGCCGCACGACTCCGAATGCACTAAAAACCAGGGGAGAGGACTCTTACGACACCGAACGAGTTACAACTTAGCAATCTAAGAAGCGTCCTGACCCTTCCCCGACCACCAAGCCCCCAGCGGCTCTCTGGTTCCAGAGGGAAAGGTAGGGCCAGCTGGCTCTCCCCTTGTGCACCCAGGCTTCTGGAAGCCGACAGTCCACACGACCCGCGGCCCCCGCCTCAGGCACAGACTGCCGAGTGCCCCCTGCACGTGTGAGGTGGGTCTAGGAGCGAGGGAGTTTCCCCCAGGCTTGCAGCCCTCACTCCGGCTCTCCAAGCCCACCTAGACAGGCCTACGCAGCAGCCGCAGGAGCATGGGGCACGGGGCGCGTCCTCGCCAGCTGTGTGCCCGGGGCTCCTGACTTGACCTCCCTGAGCCTCAGCTTTGCCATCTGCACGATGGGCAACTCTGGCCTGTGAGCCGCTTCTGCCGATGGAGAGGTCACGGCTGGGGTGACTCAGTGAGACCCGGGGCGTGGCCCAGGGATACTCACGGGTGACAGCACCTCCTCGTTTGTCAAACCGTGGCCTGACTGGGGGGATCAGATAAAGAACCGAAAACCGAGCTCCCTGCCAGGGCTTTGCTCACGGCCACCAGGAAGCCTGCCGTGCTCAGGATACAGCGTGATGAGGGCCCGGCGCCCACGCGGTGGGACCCGAGCGCGGGGCATCCCGGGGTTCAAACACCACTCCACGGTCCACGGATGCTGAGCCTCCCAAACCCGAGCCCTCACATCTGAGCGACGCGGGTGGCTCCGGTCAGCCGGCAGCAGAGGCCAAGCTCCCACGACAGCGTGCACCGTGGCCAGCGTGGCTGCTCCCCGTCGTCCCTCACCCGGCCCTTCGCCGCAGTCACTCTTCCCAGGGCGGCGAATGTGCGGTGGGGAGCGGCGCCCTGTCACCAGGCCCGGCCTCTCCAGCAGCACACTTTGTTCCCGGCCAGCGGGCCCCGGGAGGCTCTTACGGGTTGACTGCCCGCTGGCCCGTGCTCCAGCCAGACGCTGGGGCCAGTCTGGGGCAGCGGAAAGGGGACAAGGGCCATCGAGACAGGCTCCTGCCTTGTGCCCATGGCCCTCCCGTGAGCCCCCGTCTGCAGACCTCTCCCCTGCAGCCTCCACGAGGAGGAAATGTGCCGCTCCGTGGCCACGACCTCTGCAGATGGGAGGTGTCACCAAGGACGAGCCAGCCCCAGCGGAACCAGCATGCATGCTCCTGTGACCCTTGTGAACGCCGAGGACGGAGACGGCCAGGCCAGGGGGGTGGCGGGCAAATTCTGCCACGAGGGCTTGACCGTTGAGGGGACCAGCGAGTCTCAACCCACCCGGTCCCCGCTGTGCGCGCGCCTCCCGGGCCACCATGCAGGGAGCCGGCTGCCGTTGGCAGACATCTGTTCTCCAGCTGCGTGGCAGGAACAGCTGGGACGTGCCGACACCAGCGGCCACGCTGGGCCCAGGTGGACGGAGCAGCCCACAGCGGGCGGACGCGAAACCAGGCCCCAGCGGCTGCTCTTCCCGGGCAAGCGCCCACCCTGTCAATCCTAAGCTCATCCCCTCACGCTTCCTCCTCCGCCCAACGACCGGAAGGAGGCGAGATTCCGAACCCAGGAGACCCCCAGCCCGTCCCGGTCAGGGCAGACGTCCCGTCCGCCGAGCTGCAGGCCCGGGGGCCTGTGAAAACAGACACACTTCCTTCCCATACTCGCGTTCCCCCGCCGAGGGCCCTGGACACCAAGCCCTGGATCTTTCGGGCAAGGCACCCAGCAGGCAGAGACGCTCGGGTCCCTGCTTTTGTCTGCCCAGAGGTCAGCCCCACCTCCGAGCAGCAAGTCCACAGGCTGGGGGAGAGGCCTGCTCAGGAGTCCCCGCGGCCCCCGCTACAGACCGCCTCCGACCCGACTCGTCCAGCCAGCAGCCCCTGACCAGGACTAACACGGACAACTGGATGACCATCCCCAGAAGCGCCCGAAGCCAGCGGCACAGAGAGCCTCACGCTATGACTATCAAAGCTCAGAGAGGGTCAGCGTTTCCCCAAAGCCACACAGCCTGTCACCACCCAAGCGACACCAGGAGCCGGGGCTCCAAACCTCCGGGGAGCACCCACCCATCCACAATCCTTGCCTCAGCGCGTAAAGCAGTAACGGTCCGGGTCGAGGGAGCCGTCCCAGAGACCCCCCCCTCCCACCCCGACCCCGAGACCCAGCGGGTTTCCAGAGACGCGCTCCATGCGGGGCCTGGAGCGGGCAGCAGAGCCCGAAGCCGCCGCGTCGCCTGGGAACCGCGGGCTCCCAGGGAGGGGGCCCGGCACACCCACCCTCCCCACCGCCGGCCACCCCCGCGGTGCCTCCTGGAGCCCAGGCCGGACCGAGGCAGCGGCGGGGGTAACGGGAAGCAGAAGCACAGCCCAGGCGGCCAGGTGAGGCGGGGGGGGGGGGGGGGGGGTCCGGGACGGTGCTGCCCCCCGCCCCCACCCCCACCGCCGGAACGAAGCAGCAGGAGAGACACCTGAGCAGCCGCGAGGGCGCGAGCGCCCTGCCTCCAGACCCCCAAGGACGCGGCTCTCCCGCCCCGGCCGGCCGCCACACCCGCTCCCCCGAGGCCTGGCTCCCCCGAGGCCTGGCGGGAGGAGGGGCTGCGCCTCTTACCTCTGGGCTCCTCCGCCTGTTTGGCGAGCTTGCGCAGCGCGGCGGCAAAGCTGGAGGACGGCGCGACCTGGGCCGACAGCGCACTGCCGGCGGTGGGACTGCTGCTGGGCACCAGGGCGCCATTGAGCGGCGAGGGGGTGAGGGGGTTGACGGTGGCGGTGGTCCTGGTCGCGGTGGAAAGCATCCCTAGTGAAGGGGACTTGGGCTCATGGCTCATGCCTGAAACAGGAAAAGAAGAACCAGGTCACCCAGAGAGTAGGAGGGCCCAGCACCAGAGCGGGGGGGGGGGGGGGTCCGCGGGGTCCAGGGGGTCCGGGGCCAGCAAGCAGCATGCAGGGAGGGGGGGCAGGAGCAGACCCGGGCCAGAGCCGGGGCGGCAGAGAGAGCAGGGCTCACGGCACCCCCGAACCCCAGATCCGTCATCAGAGCCTCAAGCGTCCCCGGGACCCCAGTGACAGCAAGATCCCACAGCCCGGAACACCCACCGGCGTCACCCGAGATGGGCGCGAGGGACAGGAAGACATGGCCGCATCCTCGCGACGGAAAGGACCCAGCGAGAAGGGAGAGGGCTGCGCTGACGGTAACGAAACCAGCCCCACGGCTACTCCTAAGGTTTCTGCCAGCCCCACGCGCACCCTGCCCCCCACCCCAACGACGCTGGCGAGCCTGGCTCTGCTCCTGCCCACGTGTTAGAGAACACGCGGGCAGGCAGCGCAGACCCGGGATCTGACCCCACGCGGGATCCCGGTGGGTGTCCACCCACACAGGTGCCTTGCAGAACAGCCCCATCGGAAGTCGCGGGAGACGTAGGGGAGGGGACCCGGCCGCCCCGCGGACGCTGCCTGGAGGCTGAAAACTGTGGCTCTAAACCACCATGGCTGGGAAACCCCACTTCCCGCTGGGGACCGGGCTCAGGCCTCACTGTCCAAGGAGCTGAGGAGTCAGTGCCCGCCAGGGTGATACCCGACGCCACGGGGGAGGACACGGCCACCTTCCCACGGGCCCCCAGCCCTTTCAAGTCCCATCTACGTGTCAACGAGGAGGCTGAACTGCCTCCCGAGTGGCCGATCAATAAAGGCCCAGCTCTGTATCAGGCGGCGCACCATAAATAAGTTTTCCATTAACATTCCCTGCCCTCTCGGGGCACCTGCCCAGCCAGGCCCCGCTCCCGCCCCCCCCCCCCTCGCTGTAGGTGCACTCCAGGGGTGTAAATCAAGGCCAATGGCCTCCCAGCTGGCAGGGGCCACAGGTCGTGAGCAGAAAGAAGCAAATTGACTTCCAACCCCCCAGACGGACACCTGGGAGGGGCAGGCTCCAGGAACGCCCAGGGTCATCCGGGGAGGGTCCTCGGGAGCCACGGCTCTCCTGCGAGCGGGCCGGCGCAGAAAAGACAATACTGAGGCAGGTGTGAGCTTGGGGGAACGCCATGCTCTCGGGTGAAGGCTTGCGCATGGGAACCAAGGACCCCCATGGCCAGGCTGGGGGCAGGTCACGTGGGTGGCTGGTCAGCGGTGCTCTGAGGCAACAGTTCCACTGAGCGGCCGAGGCAGCGCGGACCCCAGGCTAACCCACGCGCCCTCCTCTTTCTGGAACGGCGGCGGGCGGGCAGGCGGACCCCAGCAGAGAAACCCGACCCTCCAGCGGGTCCAGCGTTCCGCCCCCCCCCCCCACCCCCCAGCCTGATCGCCAGAAACATGCGGGCGTCAGACACGGGTCATTCTCAGTGAACCCAGCAGCCGGCCAGCCCCTCCTCCAGTAGGCAGTGTGGCGGGGGAGGTGTGGCCACAGTCCCGGAGTAAGGAAGTGGGGGCCCGAAGGTCAAGTCTTGCATTCACTCGGCTGCCAGATACCAAGTCACTGCCTCTCTGGGCCTGTCTCCTTGTCTACAAAACGGAGAAAAGACAGAGTCTACCTCGTGGGGTTCATCTTGAGCGGCCTCAAGGAATTAATTTACATGAAGGGGTTTCAGAGCGTGCCTGGCACGCCAGGGGCCATTTAACAGACAGTCCATCAGCCTGCAGAGAGGGCAGAACCAAGGGTCCAGATGAGCAAGGGGGCTGGCCAAGGCCACACAAGTCGGTCTCCGCAAGGCAGGACACAAGCTTCTGGCTTTGTGGACCAGAAGCCCATGTCACTGGCCCCTCCCCGGGCTGGGGACTGCACACCCTAGTATGCATGCCTTAGGCAGGGAGCCACTTCCGCGTTCCTGAGTGGGTGGACGCTGATGCGGGCGGTACCTAAGTCCTCCCCCCGGCCCCGTGCAGCACCCACACCCGGCGGGCCGATGGCTATAGCTCTGGGGAGCGTATCCACCAGTCGGAGGTGCTACGCGGTAAAACGGAGCCTGGGTGGGGGATGAGGCCCGGGATAAAGCGCACCGGGCCCCACCGGTCCTGGTGAAGCACGCACGGAAAGCTGTCCCTACAAAGGGCTGCCGGGGAGACGATGTGTGCGAGGAGGGACCGCAGGGGACATCACTTATACCTGGCTGAGTCACCTCCTGGGACGCCTCCCAACGGGCCTGGGAGAGGCCAGCAGAACCACCACCTACCGCCCACACCGCACCCGCCCCACAGACCTCAGAGCATCCTGGGAGCCGTTCACAGCCTGGTCCCGGTCATACAGACGGTTCGAGGCCACACAGTCAAGCAGCACGCCCAGGATTCGAACCCTGTCTCCTGGGCCCACACAGCAGCTGCCCAGTCCAAGGCCTGACCGTGACACCCGTTCGGGAGGGATAAACAGGCAGGCACATGCACGCACATACACACGGCTAAAATACTTTTCGCCAAAGTAGCTTAAAAATACGTCCGCCTAATCCCTTCAAGAGGCGGAGACTAATTCCCTTCTCCCAGATGCGGGCCAGACTTACAGACTTAATTCTAATGAACGGAGTTTGGTGGAAGACACAGTCTGTCCCTTTCAAAAACAGGCCACCAGAGGCGCCGTGGCCTTGTGCCACCCACCCGCCCTCTTGAATCACTCGAGGGCACTCAAGCAGGCTGCAGAGACTCCCGCGTTTCGGGGAAAAGGATGCTTCCGGACAAAAGCCGCGGCTCCTCCCCCAGCCCGGTGGAGCCTTCGGATGAGACCGCAGCCCCAGCCGCCAGCTGGATCCCAGCCTCCTCTGAGACTCTGAGCTCCACCCACCCAGCTGAGTCACCCGCGGACCTCCCCCCGCCCCCGCCGCCAATGTTTGTTAAGTCTGGGAAGAGTCTGTCACGCAGCTTTGGAAAACCAACACAGTGGCACCACACGCTCCACTGACCAAGACTGCCCTCTCCAGTTCTCTCCCCATCCCCTTTCCTTCTTGGAGCCCAGTTCGGGCAGAACTTGCAGACGTTCAACCATCTGCAAACACCCTGTGACTTTACCCACAGTCTCCAAAGCGGCCCCCTCCCCCCGATGCCATCAGACAGAGACCATCAACTGCGGCCTCCCTGCTCCCTTACTCCTTAGAGAGCCAGCCTCTTTAGTCCCCAATCCTATCAGAAAGACGTCACTGTGCCCATTCTACAGATGGGGCAAGACACGCTTGGATCCACAGGCCGACAGATGGTTAACGGCGGGACTGAGATCCCGGGAACACGGCACCTGTGTCCTGCTTATGCTAAAGTGGCCAGGGCCCAGATCCAAACCCATTCTGCCCTGCAGCCCACACCGCACACTGATGTCAAGATAGGGACGAGGGGTAGGGAAGTGAGGGTAGGCAACGTGGTTATTCCACATCCCAGTGACCGGTCCCCAAGGCCCAGGAGCAGATGTGAGGTCACTGCTCGGTGGCCATGTGACAGGCTGGCCAGCTGGTGACCCGAGTGGACCTGCTGTGACCGCCAGCTGACAGCGCCGGGCACGGTGGCAGAGGTGCTGGGACAGGCAGTCAGCGGCCACCGGACCAATCCCAGGCCAGACCCCAGGACATCACACGCCCCCTAAGGTGTTGGGGGGGTGTCTTCAGTCGCAGCGAGGGGAGCGAAGGTCTCACTTCTGTCCTTGTGCCTACGTCGTAATTTCTCTGCAAGGAACCAGGCTTTTGAAAACGCGGGGGTGGTGGGTGTCGCCAAAGAGATAGAGAGTCACCGACGTGAAACTGGCACACCCTCAGAAGCCCAGGGTGTCCCCCCGACCGGGGACTCCCCTGGCGAGGTGCAGGGGCTGAGGGAGCTAGGAGGCCCCTCCCCCCTCCCTGGGGCAGCTGCCCCCCTGAACGGCAAGGTCACATTCCTGCTGGCGACAAGTGACCTGCCCTCCCAGCTGAGCCTGCCCTCCCCTCCTCAAAGCCTGGCACCTGCTCCCTGGGCTCAGGCAGGAGCCCCCCTGGGTTCCTGGGGGGAGGGGGTCCCCCCAAGCCAGCATCTCTGCTCTGGTGTTGGCCGTGGGCTCCAGGGGCGTTGTGAGCCAAGAAAGCTCCTGCTGATGTCAGGTCACTTAAAATAGAATCCCAACCCAGACACTTCATTAAGGAGCTAAACTTAGCCCTGCTCCCCAGCGTGTGCGGGCGCACCCGCAGGCTGCCGGGAGGGCAGGGACGGGGGACCACCAGCGGCTGGGGTGGCAGCACCCTTGCACCCAGCACAGGCCAACCTCAAGGGCCCCTGACGCCTGGCAAAGGGTCGTCCCGGATCTACAGCGGCTCGACGCAGCCTCGGGGGAGCCCCCGCCCACCCTGCCCCTCTGTCACGGGCTGGGGTCACTTCAGGGCCCACACCCCCCTGCTCTGCCCCCCAGGCCCTGCCCAGGGAGGCCGAGCCCGGCCTCCCACACAGGTGTTCTCTGGCTGAGGCCGGGGCGTCCCCAGGGGTGGGCCGAGGGGACAGCGGGCTTTGGGGTGGCCCCTGCACCTCAGGAGGCCCTGGAGGAACGTGGGGTACCTGCTCCCCGTGCCCTCATTAGAGGGGTGCTTATTAGCTTCTGTGCTCCTGGCCGCTGCCTGAATTCTTGTCTACATTATCAGCTCATGTAAATTCATTATCCTAACAGCTGGGAGTAAGCTCCACTGTGGGGAGGCCGATGATGGATGAGGGCCCGGGGACCGGCCAAGGCGGGGGGCGGCTCAGGAGCGACTGGGTCATGCGGCCCCCCTGCTGCCCTCCTCTGGACAGGGCTCCAGCCCCCAGGAGGAGAGATCCCACCAGAGGTGAGATGTGACCGCTCCCGGGCCCCTTCGCACTGAGGGGCCAGGACGCCCCCCCCACCCCCCCCCCCAGCCTCAGCTTTCT